AGTAGTGATGACATGTAGATGAAACGGTTGGATTTTATTTTTACAGAGGTTGCATAAGCACTATTAGCTTTTCAACGTTAACTGTCGCTAATTCTAATCTGACGTGTGACACGGTGTGACCTACGACAGCCAATGACAGTTGACTGTGTGTTTTCAAAAACTCACACTGGGAAAAAACAGAGACTTGGTGTTTTCTTGGTACTGTTGGTCCAACTTCTGATCCTGAAACAGAGAACCACTGTTGTCAACACAGCCGCAGCTCCTGCACCATTTTCTCTCTGAGGTCTGTAGTATCATGTAGTATCATGTAGTATCATGTAGTATAACACTCACCACACAGTGGACCAGGATGCTGAATGGAACCCAGAGCAACAGAGAAAAGACGAGCACAGATCCAACGATGTTGTCGGCCAGAAACTTCCCAAAGGTGTTGATGTCGAGTTTGTCGATGAAATCCCACAGACGCTCGATCACGTCCTGGACCTGCTTCATACACTTCCCCTGGACACACACGGTGCAGGTGTGAGTGTGTGACTCACTGTGAGTGAGTGTGTGTGTGTGTGTGTGTGTCTCTCACGGCTCCGTCACAGAAGCCCACTGTGCAGGGTTTTCCCTTCCTCAGAAACAGGAAGTTGCCCCCCTGCTCCCTGTAGGGGGCACACAGTCCACTGTTGCTGCGGCAGCAGACTTTACAGGTGGAGTGAGTTTCTGTGGAGAAACAACAGTCAGACCCTAACCCTAATATTAGCCAACTGTGTGTGTGTGTGTGTGTGTGTGTGTGTCACCATTGCAGGCACAGGGGAGCAGTTCCAGAACAGCTTGACAGAAAGGAACACACTCTCCACTCACACACTGACCACTGTCCAAACACTCGGTGTGGTCGGGAGCGTCCTCTGGTGGCGGACACTCACTGCTGTTACCTGTGGAAATGTGTACAACGACATCAGACCTCAAGCCCCGCCCCCTTTTACGGCCACTGTGAACTGTTCTGGTCAGCTGACCTGTGCAGTAGGAGTGTCCTTTACAGGTGGTGTTGATGGGCTCCTGACAGACCACACCCTCAGCTTGGAAACGACACCCTTTACAACATGCTGCGTTCCTGTCACTGAATACAGATAATAGGGTGGTGTCAACAGCTGTGAGTGCCCTCAGATAGGCTGACATACAATCTCTTATGAGCTTCCCAACCATTGACATTCAGAGGTCGATAGTGAAATTAGTGATTTATTTGTTTGTTTTACTGCTGAGTAAGGTTTAGTCTGTTAGCTTAAATCTCTGATTTTCTCCATGGACTTTGGTCTGAACTAAAATCTCTGATTTTCTCCATGGACTTTGGTCTGAACTAAAATCTCTGATTTTCTCCATGGACTTTGGTCTGAACTAAAATCTCTGATTTTCTCCATGGACTTTGGTCTGAACTAAAATCTCTGATTTTCTCCATGGACTTTGGTCTGAACTAAAATCTCTGATTTTCTCCATGGACTTTGGTCTGAACTAAAATCTCTGATTTTCTTCTTGGACTTTGGTCTGAACTAAAATATCTGATTTTGATGAATCAGTGCTAAAGTAAAGGTTTCCAAGACTTTTCACTGGATCTCTCAGCTCCTGACCTCTGACCTGCACTGGGCTCCAGGTCTGAGGCGACAATCTTCGGAGCAGCAGGGGTCAGAGTTGATGTTCAACAGTCCAGGGTCACACTCTTCTCCTGGCTCCACCCTGGAGTTTCCACAGACGTTCACGTTCCGCTCTTTGAAGCAGGACGGCGCTTTGGCTCGCAGTCGCATCACAATGGAGCGCTTACTGCAGTTAGAGAAAATCTGAACACCACAGACCACAGCTTTGTTAGCTAACAGTAGACAGCTTTGTTTACTCGACAGTTAGCAACAATTCAAGCTTGCAATTTACTTAATAATTTGAATGAGTTCAAAGTTTGCCTCCAATAGGGTTATTTATCCTTACAATGTCATCAACAACAGCTAACAGTTAGCCCAATAACAGTTTAGATAAATTAAGAACTGAGTTGAACTCCCTCGAGTGAAATTAAGGAAATATTAATTACAATTGAACAATTCAAACCTGACCAAAACAGATCAAAGTCAAATACAAAGGATGATGAATGATAAGAAATGTGCTTAATGTTAGCCAAAATGGATACACGGGTGAAGCTACAAATTCAGAGCTAATTCAGGAAGCAGCTTTAAATTTAGTTTTGAAAGATATCAGACCAGTTGTCGGTCACGTGACCTCCCACCTTGTTGTTGACGTGATCACCGCTCACAGCGATAGGATACATGACAAACTTCCCGCCCTGATCAGCTCGCGGAGCACAGCGTGGAATGTTGTCCGGATCATGTTCCGCTCCAAAGTTGTGTCCCAGCTCGTGGGTTGTCACCAAGTCAGCTTCCTGTTGATGATGACATCACAGTTCACCCTGCTGCGGTTAGCCCCGCCCCATGACTGACCTTTATTAGTGTGGACTCACCTTGGTCAGGATGGTTTTCCCATAATTCTTAGTGCTGGTCAAACCCGTGTTCAAGTAAATGGGTCTGTTGTCATTAGTAGACGACAGACAAACTGCAAAAAGAACAACAACAAACACCAGAAAACAACAGCCAAATTACAGAAGAGTAATTAGTAAAAAGAAATTAAAATGTATGGATGCAGGAAGTTCCTGCGCCGACAGGAAGTTACCTTTGGAGCACAGACCACCAGGGATGTCAGGTTTGGAGGGGGCCACGTAGGCCAGACCCAGAGTTCCTTCATCGAAGTCCTGATAGGTGAAAAGATGGGCCAGGCACACGTTAGACGCCTTCTCTGCCATGTCCACGCTGAACTGCTGCAGGGGGCAGGGGGGGAAGGGCGGGGACGAGAGGTTGATCACATGGTCCAAGCAGTAGGAGTCACAGAGTGGAAGGAGGTCAGACCTTACCTCCAGTAGCTTCTTGACGTCCCACACGTCCCGTCCGTCCACTGGACTGCCCCTCATGTTGAAGTGACTCTGTCCTGGAGAAACTGCTGTTGGGAATTTTTCAATGATGATCTGAGGAGGAGGAGCAGGTCACTGTGATGTCAGCATGATGTCATCACAACACAGCTACATAAATACTGACTGATCTTGCTGATCACTTGACTCCAACCCCAAAATCAAAGAGAGACAGAAGAATTGATTTGGATGAAAAGCACTCTTAACAATAAAACCCTTGCTTCTCGTTGATAATTGTCGTCTCACCTGTTGGATCTGAACACCGTAACCGACAAACTCCTCGTCCCAGGACGTGTTTCTGTAGATGTCGTCAACGCGGTCAATCAACTCGATCTGCAGCAACACGGGTCATGGGTCAAGGTCATGTTAAGATGTTGTAAATACATTTATTCAATCTTTACAATATATTAATTATGTTAAAGTTTCCATATCAATTTATACTGTTATTGAATGCTGTTATTGTGCTGTACTAAAGGGGAAAGTGCTGAAGACCGGTGTGCATGCTGATAGTTTACATAACAGGATGATATGGACAACACTGAATGGTACCGACTGTTACACTTGGAGATAGAGAGAAAAACATCCAAACTGCATGGTCTTATCTGACTTGATTAACTACAGCATATCCACATAGCTCCTATTGGTGGAGAATCCTTGTTTAGAGCAGTCTTTACCAATCAGTGCTCAGAAGTTACGCGAGAACACCACATGGCTGTAAAGGGTTAAGGTACTGACCATTGATGTTTGTGTGTGTAAAAAAAACTGTATTTGAGCTTTGAGCACTGAGGAGTTCCTCAGTGCAGTTCTGAATGTAACCATTGTTCTGAACTCCTTGTTGCAAGTAAAACTTTTAAACTTTGAGATCTCGTATTTGATTCTTTATTTGACTTTATTTGATTCTTTGTGTGTTAGGAAACTGGGTTATGAACTAACAGCATTTTTTACAGTCCTATCCAAAGGAGGACATTTCCTGACAGGTCAGCATCAGGAGTTTGGGCTAACTGTTAAAGAGGCATGTCAGGGTTCAAAGGTCAGTGTGGGCTCTGACCAGGTAGTTGAGGGTGGTGCTCTCCTCCTGTCGACCCATGTGTTTAAAGAATCGATGGTCGGCCACCAGAAGCAGTGGACAAGTGTTCTTCCTGTGGTCCAACACCTGACGTCTGGCCCTGGACCCAGACACTGAGACACAGACACGACAACAGAGACAATGTTTATGTCTGTTTATGTCTCCATCTCACAGTGTTACTACACTACTTTGTCTATTTCAAAACAAAAGCCCATTCACGTGGAGTTTTCTTTCATTTGAATCTGCAGTTCAATAACCATCAATATAAATATTCCTAAACCAGGCATGCCCAAACTGTTCCTCAAAGGGCCACTATGGCTGCAGGTTTTTGTTCCAACCAACCAAGAGCACATAGTTTGACCAATCAGCTGTCTGAAGACTGAGACCAGTTGGTTAAACCTGTCAACTCAGGTGTGCTACTGCTTGGTTGGAACAAAAACCTGCAGCCACAGCGGCCCTTCGTGGAACAGTTAGGGCACCCCTGTCCTAAACACCAGCCCAAAGAGCTAAAGATTAGCTCTAGGTGCACATGTTGACTCTGTTGCGCTGGTGTTCATAAATTCCACCTCAGCTGTCACATTTCATTCAGCAATACTGAAAATAAAAAAAACCTTTTTTTAGTTCCAGAAACTGACTGTGGTCCTGGTCCTGGTCCAGGTGCTGGTCCAACATATTGGTTCTGACGCTCTCAGGTAGGAGGTGGCTGGAGTCAGAGCTAACGTAACCACACACCGATGGCTGCTGCAAACGGGTCAAGTTCCTGATGTCCTCAGAACGATAAATGAGTAGACGACCATCAGGGGGCGCTGAGATGAACCTCCACAGAGGCTGTAGCCAATCAGACAAAGTTGTTTAAGATTCTTTGAAGTGAGAGCACACCAGGTGCCGAGAGATGTGTGAGTCGTACCTCGATGTTGTACTCTGCGTGGTCAGTCACGATGTGAGCTGAGAACTCGTGGTCGTCGATGTGAGCCTGAACACGTGAGTTCTCCTCCCCTTCACCAGCACGAGCACAACCAAAGTTAAAGGAGCAACACGCTGTGTGTGTGTGTGTGTGTGTGTGTGAGTCAACACCCAATGACGTGTCCAGTAAAGTAGTTGTGTCTGTTGACTGGATAGCTGTGTTCTCGACCGTCCTCGTCCACCACCACGGCTCTAAAGTCATCTGTGAACAGATCGTTGCTGGTTCTCAGGTACAGTCTGAACTGCCTACACACACACACACACACACACACACACACACACACACAATCAGTGTATTTTAGCAAAACCATGGACTGCATGGTGAAGACTAAGGCTGCAACGACAGTGTTAGCGACCTCTGCAGGGCGTTGAAGGATAGCATCTTCTCCACGTGACTCTCTGTCTGGACGTCGCGGCGTCGAACCGAGTGAGCGGTCAGACTGGACAGAGGCAGGACGTCAAAGTGACTGAGCATGGAGCTGAGAGAAGCTGCAGAAGAAACAGTTCAGAGTGAGAGCTCTTCACTCCACACAGCAGCGATGAACGCTGACCGATCACTAGGACTTAATGCTGGTGAACAAGGGGACAAAGACTGGCGACATAAAAGAGAACTCTTTTCAACTAGTTTCTACTTTTTCAGAGAAATCGGTGTGAGGATAAACCAGGACAAAGTCCCAGGAATTTACTCTGTTCGTTTAGAGATTTGAATAATCGAACATCGATATAGTTTTTCCTTCGTTCAAATCCAATAATTGTTTTACTGACTTAATTCACAAGTTTGACTTTTTGTTTCGTTCAGTGTTTGGATTTATACCTGCCTCGGAGACTCACCAAACTCCTGCTGCTCGGCGTCTACTAATCCATCAGGCACCGCAGCGTCTGTAAAAACAGTAAAAACCGTAGAAATCCATAAAACCGTGAAGTCGTGTCTCCACATTTTAATGGTCGCGTTTCTTCTTCTGTTTTTGAAAAGTCATTAAAGTTTATATTTCGCACATTCAAATCGAGAACGACGAACTCTTCATGTAAAAACAAATTACGTTTGTTAAATATGGTTGGAAAGTGTGACGCTGTAGATATAAATGATCGTTTATTGAAATAAATGCCGACAAAAATACGTCCGTTAAAAAAATCCAGGAAGAAGAGCGAAATCAAGTTCCTTAGAAACATATAGCGCAGGCCGGAAGTTGACCTTTTCACCAAAACAAATCACAAATTTTAATATTTAAAATGAATTAAAATATAACCTTTCATTTGACGCAGATGACATATTTCGACATTGTTTTGGTTTTATTAAGTCTTTAATTTCAAGTTAAAAGTATTGACTACATCATTATAGTACAAACATTTAATTGTTTTGACAAGACTGAGCTTTGTTTTATTTTGAAGACCTGTCTCGACATTGTGTGTTTACTTTGACGGAGTGCAACAGTCAAACAGGCAACTGTTTAAAGTCTTTTCAAAACTGATAAACATATTTAAGAACGAGAGCGAACGTCGGTGTGTTTAACTGTGAAGGTCAAGGAGCAGATGTAACAGATGTGTGCGTGTGTGAGAGAGATTTAAACTTATGTAAGAAAACATCTGTTGGCTCTATTTATAACATGTGACCTCATGGTATTACACTGGTACAGCTACTGCTAACGCTCATGCTAATGCTGTCTGTAAACACAGTGTGTTATGGTCAAATATGTCCACCTAGCAGAGACAAACACAGGACATGTGACCTCAGGCTCACACTCTTCCTTCAGTCAGGAATGTCATTGGAAGCCTAGGTATTTGGACGGCTGAGAGTGTAGGTCATAGTCGAGGGAATGTGGGCTAAGTGTATGTAGCTAAGACAGTGTGTTAGCATGGTGTACGGGAAGTTATGGTCGATGCACAGTTATGTTATGGTCATGTAAGACAGTGGTTGGGGTGGTAGACATGTTATACTTTAATAATAAACGGGGAGGTGTTGTGTAACATATTCATTATGTGTGTGTTGTCATAAAACACTCGGCTTGTTGTATATCCTGAGGTAATAAAAATGTCTAAACTCATTTACAGAAATACACATTGCAGTTCACCACTTCAGACAGTGGCTGCAGCAGAGAGTTACGCGGCTACGACCAGAGACGGAAGTGAGGTCAATTTCAACCGGCGAATGTTTATATTATTTTTAGACCTCGTGTGATCAGATGCTGCGCCATAAACCGGGGACATGAACGACGAACTAACGGTAAACTGTCACTGTTGCTCTCGGACACGCGGTTGTGGCGTCGCGCTGCCGCTTCTCGTTTGCTCATCGCAAAACTCCGCCTTCAATCTGTCGAGTTTGTTTTTTTGTTTAAACCAGACAATAACAGATGATCGAGAAGCTTGTTCCGTTTAATAGGATCTTGTTTTATAATGTTTATGACGGGAGATTATTTGTTGCTGGTCTTACCTCGTTGTGTGTCTGTGTCTGTAGGCCACTTTCACACAGCCCTGCGCTCAGTGTTCTGCTGTGAACTGGGCCGTTTCAGACGAAGGCCGTTTCTACTGCAGAAGCTGCCACAACGTCGCTGAGGTAAAGACCTGTGGAGCCAAGGACATAGACTGAGACCAGGTTTACGTTTGTCTGTCTCTGAAGTGTGCCTACATGTCCACAGCGAACTGAAGATGTGGTGGACACCACCTTCACTCCAGGCTCAGCCAGGATCTCCAACCTCACCAGGAGGTCTAGGACCAGAACACCAGGTCTTCGTCTGACTGTAGGACAAACTGTGACCACAGGACACGAACCGGTGTCAACCCGTGGTTCACACCGACTGTGTCCTGTGGTGTGTTTGTGTCTTATATAACGTAAAGGTTCTTGAATGTTCTGTACAGACCGTCAGTGGTGGATCTGTGAAGGCTTTCAGTTCATTCTGAAGAACCAGGCTGATGCTCTGGTGGATCTGGGAGTTTCTGCTCACTTCAGGGTGAGGAACACACACACACACACACACACACACACACCTACACACCTACATATCCACATCTTGTTGAGTAATGTTGTGTTTTAGGACCAGGTCTTGTGTCAGCTGTGGAGACTGTACCTTCAGAAGAGTCGACAGGCGTTCACCTCCGACCCCATCAGAAGCTCCGCCCACCAACTGGTGCCTTTTCTCATTTTTAACACAACTCCACTCCTTTACTCCCTTCTTCCTGTGTTTCACTCACCTTTTTCCTCAGAGAATCACAGACTCGGATGTGGACAGTGAAGGTGAGTCATCGGCTGTGTCCGACTCAGGTACATTTGAACAACGACTGGCAAACAAGTGTAGCAACGACTGCTAAGAGTTGGCAACAGTTAGCATAATATCAACAGCTGTCCCCAATAAATATCAGCTAGCAATGACCTCAACATACTGAAGTAGCAATGATCGCTAACAGTTGACAGTAACAGCTAGACAGATACCTACGGGTTTAGCAAACAAGTTAGCAAAAAGCTAATGAGTTAGGAATGGTTTAAAGAATCAAAAGGGGTACAGTGCTAGCAACAAGAAGCAAAAATTAGCCTTGTCAGTAATGTAGCATTAGTGCTAATGGCATTAACCAGATTTTCTTGATGTCACAGGAAGTGGCAGTGATTGGTCAGGGGTGTTGGGCAACTCTGTCCATCTGTCAGAGAGTCAAAGGCAGGTACATACTCTGATGAACATGAGGAGAACCCTGGCCCTGATCCACCTGGCTCTGGTGTGGAGCCGTGCACCGCTGACACTCAGTGATGTCATCATGTGAGCACTAAGTGTTGAACACCATTTATATTATTATCCATTGTTTTTAAATAAAACAGGTTTTGTGTTACAGTGTAAGTCTGTTACAGTGTGTGTTTGTTACTGTGTGTCTATTACGCTTTGTGTCTGTTACGGTGTGTGTTTGTTACGGTGTGTGTTACTTTGTGTGGTGTCAGGTTGGTGCGGGCTGGTCTTCTTCCATACACTGATGTCTACGAGAAACTTCCGGATAAACTGAAGGTGGAAGGAGTGGATGTCCTGACCTTCAGAGTCCACGTGAGTGTTATCCTCCCTTCTGGCTCCCTCTCTCCCCCCTCCTCCCTGACCAACTGTGGTGCCTTTGTTTTTGGTTCCAGAATGTACCGTCCCACCAGGAGCTGCACACCGAGGCTCAGGCTCTGGTTCACTTCCTGCAGCTGGAAACCTTTCCTCCAATCAGCAGCCAGAGTCAGCTGCACCCAGCACTGCTCAGCCTTCGCTATCTAAGCGATGCTAACCTACCCGGTAAGACATGCGCGCTGACATGCACTTCTAGGTGCACAGTGGTGGTGAGACCATCTTACTGCTCCTCTGTGCTCAGACCAGCTCCACCCTTGGCTCCTCCACCTGATGAAGCGAGCTGCTGTGGAAGATCAGACTCTCTACACCTTTGACTCCACCTCCTGTCCTGTCCTGCCGCAACACGACATCCAGACCGTCGCCATCATCATTGTCACCATCAAGGTGGTGTTTGGCCTGAACGACTGCACCGAGTGGTGAGGAGACCACACACACACACACACACACACACACACACACACACACATAGAACAATTACTTATATGCATTTAGCAAATGTTTTTATCCAAAGAGACTTATGAGTGGGGGGAGGTGTCATAGGTGGGTCCCTCTGGGAATCAAACCCAGGACTCTCTGCTTACAACCACTACACCATGGGACCACCAGTAACCACCACACACACACAGCACTAGAGTAACACACACACACACACACAGTAAAAGTGTGTGTTTTTGTCTTTCAGGGACTTGTGTGACGTGGACGACCAATCAGGTTTGATTTAACTGAACAGTGGTTACAGTGTTTGGTCAAAAATATAAACAATTACAGAGAAATATTAGCTGAAGTCAGTCGACAGCAGCTCCCATAGACTCTTACTGGCTTGTTAGCTAAAGATGGCTTAAGCTAACTAGAGGTGGTATCATTAGCAAGAACTGGCATTGTTCTTTCTGTCTGTTCCCATTGGCCAGATGGGGCTTTAGGATAAACAAATGCCCAGACCTGGTGTAAACCCATGGTAGCAGAGACTAGTTCAACATTCGCATGGTTAGACCTGGAAAAGACATCACTTAAAACACATTTTGTTCTCTGACCTTTGACCTCACTGGTGTCACTTATTACAGAAGCTGTGTTTAGCCTGAGGAGGTGGTTCAGACTGACCCAGGCTGCTCTCAGGTCAGCTGAGCAGAGCAGAAACCAGCTTATCTGCAGGTGAAGTCTGAGCTTGGCCAACAGAGGGCGCTTACAGTTGTGTATACCTGTGTTTGTTACTACTCCTTAAAATTATGTCAACACTCTGACCACCCAGGACGCAGTGGAAGTCAGGCTGTGGGCTGTACCAGAACAGGAGGTCCAGGAGTCTGGGACTGAAGAGGAAACGTGAGTGTTTCTACAGTGATGCTGGTCCAACACTGCCTCCTGTGGTCAGAGAGAACATTGTTATTAAATATTCATTTTGGCCCTTTTTGGTTGTGCTTTGTTGTAAAACATAATGTCCTACCAGTAGAGGGCGCTTGAGACACTGTGTGGTCTGCCCAGTGTTCTTCAAACTGTGGTTCAGGCACAGTAAAAGCTATGTTTATAGCTCCACTTGCAGGAGAGGATGAGAATATCAGGCTCCAGCACAAACACCAACATACACTGGTTCAGGTTCTGGTCTTGGTCTCCACAGGAACCTCAGATCAGGTCCAGCGGTGTTTTCAGAACCTGTCTTCTCCTGTCGCCGCCCGACGCTGCTCCAGTTCCAGTTTCAGGTTCTGTTGGGGGGGTGATGATGGAGCAGACGGTCCCAGTCTGCACCACCAGAAGTTGACTTCAGTCCTGACAATGAACCACAACATGCTGACTCCCACCAACGCCACCTACTGGCTGCCAGCTCGCTGCACCTGTTACCTTGAGTATGTTTGTTTACTGCATGAAAACCTGATGTTATGAGTGGGGGGAGGTGTCATAGGTGGGTCCCTCTGGGAATCAAACCCAGGACTCTCTGCTTACAACCACTACACCATGGGACCACCAGTAACCACCACACACACACAGCACTAGAGTAACACACACACACACACACAGTAAAAGTGTGTGTTTTTGTCTTTCAGGGACTTGTGTGACGTGGACGACCAATCAGGTTTGATTTAACTGAACAGTGGTTACAGTGTTTGGTCAAAAATATAAACAATTACAGAGAAATATTAGCTGAAGTCAGTCGACAGCAGCTCCCATAGACTCTTACTGGCTTGTTAGCTAAAGATGGCTTAAGCTAACTAGAGGTGGTATCATTAGCAAGAACTGGCATTGTTCTTTCTGTCTGTTCCCATTGGCCAGATGGGGCTTTAGGATAAACAAATGCCCAGACCTGGTGTAAACCCATGGTAGCAGAGACTAGTTCAACATTCGCATGGTTAGACCTGGAAAAGACATCACTTAAAACACATTTTGTTCTCTGACCTTTGACCTCACTGGTGTCACTTATTACAGAAGCTGTGTTTAGCCTGAGGAGGTGGTTCAGACTGACCCAGGCTGCTCTCAGGTCAGCTGAGCAGAGCAGAAACCAGCTTATCTGCAGGTGAAGTCTGAGCTTGGCCAACAGAGGGCGCTTACAGTTGTGTATACCTGTGTTTGTTACTACTCCTTAAAATTATGTCAACACTCTGACCACCCAGGACGCAGTGGAAGTCAGGCTGTGGGCTGTACCAGAACAGGAGGTCCAGGAGTCTGGGACTGAAGAGGAAACGTGAGTGTTTCTACAGTGATGCTGGTCCAACACTGCCTCCTGTGGTCAGAGAGAACATTGTTATTAAATATTCATTTTGGCCCTTTTTGGTTGTGCTTTGTTGTAAAACATAATGTCCTACCAGTAGAGGGCGCTTGAGACACTGTGTGGTCTGCCCAGTGTTCTTCAAACTGTGGTTCAGGCACAGTAAAAGCTATGTTTATAGCTCCACTTGCAGGAGAGGATGAGAATATCAGGCTCCAGCACAAACACCAACATACACTGGTTCAGGTTCTGGTCTTGGTCTCCACAGGAACCTCAGATCAGGTCCAGCGGTGTTTTCAGAACCTGTCTTCTCCTGTCGCCGCCCGACGCTGCTCCAGTTCCAGTTTCAGGTTCTGTTGGGGGGGTGATGATGGAGCAGACGGTCCCAGTCTGCACCACCAGAAGTTGACTTCAGTCCTGACAATGAACCACAACATGCTGACTCCCACCAACGCCACCTACTGGCTGCCAGCTCGCTGCACCTGTTACCTTGAGTATGTTTGTTTACTGCATGAAAACCTGATGTGAGCGCCTCCTATTGTTAGAACAGAAGTTAACAGAGTTTTCAGACCAGTCACAGCAGCAGTGAATAAAATAAATGTTTTCTATTTCCTGAGAATGGCATTTGTCTTGACAGGAAGTAGCTGCACTTGTTTGAACCACGCCCACTTCCTCTTACTGATCAGCTGATGATTTTTTACTTACTCCTTCACAGCATGCACAAGAGCCACTTCCAGGATATGAAGGCGTGGCTTCCTCACTCCTTCCTACAGCTGCTGAACTTCTTTTCTTTCCTTATTGATGTCAAGCCGACAGTTCTGTTCCAGGAAGTCCTGAACCTGGAGAGACGGCTGCTGGGACACAACAGCAGGACCAGGACTAAGACCAGGACCAGGACCCTGGGTCAGGGAACTGAGACCGCAACATGAATCTGGAGATAAAACTACTGGACAACCTGTGGACACCTGTGTAAGGACAAGACCAAGACGAGGACCCGTTGTAAGACTGAGACTGGACTCCACAGAGACACCTACTGGTCAGAAAAAACATTCATGGACTAACCATGGCCATGACCAGGTTTAGATCAAGTTCATCTTTTGTGCTGGTCCAGCACCAGGAACAGTTTGATTCTGGTTTGATATTAAACCAGAACATTTTAAATTTTTCATAAAAATGGAAAAGTTCATGAAAAAATAACAATGTTTGTGTTCATTGGTGTTGTGGTTGTAGTTGGTGTTGGTTGAAAACAAACAATGTGGAAAAATTAGATTGATGTTATTGCTCCTCTGGTGTTGTCTGTTGTTACTGCAGTCACAGTGAAGTGAGGTCAGTGTTGTGAAGGTGATGTGAGGACTGTGTGCCCCCCTCAGGTCAACAGAGGTAACTGCTGTCTGTCTTGTTGCTATGGAAACGAACCTAACGCTGAATAGTTGCCTGGCAACAGTGAACTTGCAAATGAGACTAAAAGTTTTTAAACCGTGCAGTCCTTAAACGACCTCTACAGGTAAAAAGAGGTCACAGCAGCTAGAGGTACTGATGAAAAAGCACTGGACTAAAATTACGCTTATTGTATGTCTGTAGACTAGTCCTAAAACTGTCACTGTCTGATTGGTGAACCATGGTAGTAGCAGCAGTAATAACAGTGAAAGAAATAATGTAAAAAAAAAAAAAATTCCTTTTATGTTATTGCTGGGATGTCAGTACAGGTCTGTGATGGTATTAACAATGACTGTATCAACAACAAAGGCGCTGCTGCTGGAGTGTGCACGAGTTCAGAGTGCACGTGTGAAGAGGGAGGAGGGAAGTGTGCTGCTGCCCTTAAACTCCACCCTGGAATGCTGTACTGGAGTTGTTTACAACCTGGAGCTGGGGAAAAGGAGTCCCTGAGTTCATGGAGGAGGAGGAGGTGATGCAGACAAAGTGAGGAGCAAAGATGGAGGAAAATGAAAGAAAAAAAAAGACAAAGAGATGAAGCTGTAGCAACATCACTGCCTGAATGGTTCATTTCATATCAACGCTTTTCTCCATGAGTCGATCTACAGAAATCATCCATCCATCCATTTTCATCCGCTTATCTGTTATCGGGTCACAGGAGCAGCGGTCTCTATGACCGCCACCCAAATCACACTGCACTGTAACAACCCCCCCTGAACCTTCCTGTGGTGGTGAGTCCAGTGGAAGGTACCAACCGCCCTAACAGGGATTCCATCTTGCCCAGGAGGTGAACCCTGGGGTTTTACACCAACGACAGAGACGTTGGCTGTGGGTCAAAGCGCCACCAAAGGAAATCATTAGAACATGAATCCATTTAACCAATGTTGTCTTCTGTTCGCAGCTACAGAAATTCCTGAACATTTTAAGGACGTTTTGTTCTGAGTTAGATTCAAGTCCACAGGGAGGCGCTCGTGCCAATAAAATATATTTCTTTGTTTCCTAAACCGTGCCGTTCATAGTTCATTATATTTCTGTTGTTTTTTGTTTAATCATAGTTCCATGTCCTGTCTGACCGCGTCCCCGTGGCACAGAGCGCGTTCCCGGTCCTGTTTGCCGCCAACCTTTCCACCCAGTCTCTGCGCGTCCTCGCGAGTTCAGCGGGTTTACTGTGACACCGCTGACTCCACGGACACGCCCCCCGGCACACGGGCACCCTCTGCAGTCCAATGGCGATTGGAGCACGTAGAGACTGTCATCTGATTGTGTGCTGCTCGAGACACCTTTGCCTGTGATTGGCTGTGTGTTACCAGCCGCTGCTGACTCCGCCCTATTTTGCTTTCACCGTGTTTTTCAGATTTTTTTTTTTTTTACTCCGTTCAGCTCCAACAGTCTTAATTGTTATCCTGGACCTAAACCTGGACTTGTCGTCCCGGCCCCGTGCTCCAGTTGTTTCCTCCGGACTCCGCTCTTTCCGTCTGCTCCTGGCCTGGTGCTTTTCGTTCTGTTCATCTTGGCTACGGTTCTCCGAGTTTCGGTTCTGTCTTTTCAATCTCCCTGGCTCCGGTTCGATCCCGGGACAACGGCAGCGGCTCGTGTGCTCTGGCCGCTGTTGTCGCCTCCTCCGCCGCCTCTGCTCCTCTGAGTGTCCGGCTTTGTGTTGAGCTTCAGCGGCCGCTGCTGTCAGGTGAGCCTCCGTTCAGAGAGCGGCGTGTTGCCAGAGCTGCAGCCGCTGATGCGGCGCTGCCGCCGGGTTATCTGAGGTCACAGGAGACGTGTACGCGCACGCGTTCTCTATCACATAGCCACATACATCCGCTGCTGTTACTGTTTTATTGTCACTGAGTGTGTGTTTGACGTTGTGTTATTGCTGTTTTGTTTGTTGTGGTTTGTTGTCTGTGACGTCATTTGTTGTGTTCTTCAGCTTGTGTTTTGGTGCTGTTTCGATTGTGACGTGATTATTTCCTTGTTTTGTTGTTGCTTTTGTTCCACGTCTTTAATGGTGTGTGGTGTATTTTACGGTTGTATTTGTGATCTGATATTGTCATGTTGTTCGTTATTTATAAGCCACTCAAACCCCCGCACACACACACACCAAACATCATAGAGAAAACCAGTGATTTTGTCAGCAGTTGTTGATCAACTGCTGCTCCACCACTGAGTTCTAATGAGTTCCTCTGTGACTGTTGGAACTGTTCACTGTTGGAAATCATCTGTTCAGATTCACCTCAGTGACACAGACTGACCACAAGAGGCAGCAGAGGACCAACTGCTGCTGTGTCTCCGTGGTAAAATCACTGATTTTTTTTTTCTCTATGAGGTTTCTGCAGAAGAGTGAGTTGTTAATAAATGATTCAACGTTCAGAGACTAAAGAAAAGTCATTGTGTGAAACACGTGGATGGTTGATGATTGGTCGATGTACTGATATCAGTGAATGTGTTAGATCTTTCTTTGAATTTGAACTGCTGTGCCTCAGGTTGATGGGATGGACGATCAGCTGAACACCACCATGGAATTGAAGTACCACGACCTGGAGGCTGCTGAAGCACTGGTCAGCATGAGCTTCTGGGGTCAGAGATCTCACAACGCCAGGCCTCTCACCCCTACCTCTGATTCCTGTGACTCAATCCAGCTGCCACAGGAGGGCGCCGATGCTCCCAAAGACCTGATGGCTCTGTCTTCACTGGTGAGAGCAGCTTTACTCAGTCTCTCTGCTCATAGTTAAACACTGGCCCATTCAGGTCACAGAGCAAACCTCAAACAGAAAATCAGTGATTTTAGTTCACACCAAAGTCCATAGAGAAAATCAGTGATTTTAGTTCAGACCAAAGTCCATGGAGAAAATCAGAGATTTTAGTTCACAAAGACACAGCACTTGATTCACTGTTGTTATATTTGAATTTATAGTTGTGAATGATACAGGTATTTTATAAAAACTTTGTCTCCTCTTCCTTCAGTGTATGACTCCACCTCACAGTCCCAGCTTCGCAGGTGCCTCAACCACTGCTACCACCTCGACTCTAGGCTCCACCTTCAGACCACTTTTACCTCAGGCGGAGCTTGCTGTGTGTGCTGCCGTCTTTGGTGATTCATCCTTGTCAGACTCCTCATCTCCACTTCCTGCAACCATCTCAACCAGAGCCACGAGTGTCATCCGACACACTGCTGACAGCATTTCTATACCACCTCCTTACCCCACCCCTCCCAGTTTTCAGTCTACATCGACACCATCTCAGGAGGAGACCCAGGGGCATCCCGGTCCTTCTTGTTCTTCTCCTCCTCCTGCGTCCCAGTCCTCCTCGCCTCTCCGGACCTCCCCTCTCATCTGTCAGGTGATCCCGGTGAGTGGAAGGCCTGGAATGATCTCGGCCTTTGTCCCGACTCCACTGCAGCTGCAGACACAGGCTGGTCTGAACCCTCTCCTTCAACACTCTCCGCCCAATGGCTTTACTTCACCCATGCTCGTGGGGGGAGCTGTGTCACAGGGGGCAGTGATGTTTGTGGTCCCAACTCCAGCCCTGCAGCAGCCAGCGCAGACCATGGTCACCACCAAGCTCCTCCCCCTGGCTCCGGCACCTATTTACGTGTCATCAGGATCTGGAGGAGGAGGAGGCTGTTCCTCCTCACAGTCTGACTTCACGAGACGACGAAACTATGTTTGTAATTTCAGCGGCTGCAAGAAGACGTACTTCAAAAGTTCACACCTGAAGGCTCACCTGAGAACACACACAGGTAACACACACAGACAAAAATGTTGCTAGAGCATAGCTAACGTGTTAGCTAAAAGCTGTATGATGCATGAAAGTTGATGATGATGAACGTTTGGAAACAGATTTGAAAAGAATCGACTCTGGTAAAATGTTTGATTCCTGGAGCTAATTATGTAATAATAAGTATCAAAAATATTATTTGATTGATTGATTGATTATTGCACAGGTGAAAAACCATTCAGCTGTCACTGGGACGGTTGTGACAAAAAGTTTGCCCGGTCTGACGAACTTTCCCGACACCGCCGAACACACACTGGCGAGAAGAAATTTGTCTGCACCATCTGCGATCGCCGCTTCATGCGCAGTGACCACCTGACCAAGCATGCTCGCCGTCACATGACCTCCAAGAGAGCGGTGGCCATGGCAAATTCAGCCACGTCAGTGACAGCGGTGGCGTCATGGTCCAACAACAATGCTGACGTCAACAAAGGAGGACTGCCAAAAAGTGGATGCGAGGGCCCTGTACTTCCTGTGGGCGTGCTCGTACCTGCCGCAAAATGATTTACCAAGAGGGGTGGGACTTGAATCATCCTTCCACCAATCACAATCAGCTGTTGGGTGTCTTGCTACAACTTCATCCAACTGGGCCCGTGTCAGACAAGCCAACAGGGAGGTTCGGTCTCTGTTTACAGAAGAAGTTGTGTGAAGCAGCAGTGCCCCTAGAGGTCAAGACTGTCACTGTAGGACAGGGACAAATCATGATACTCATTTCTCAGGTCAAGCATTCAAAACCTCAGCTTATAAAACCATTTTATTCTCTTGGGGGAGGAGAGGGCCATTATAGGGTGCAGCAGCGCCCCTGCAGACAGAAGCTGTGGAGGCACTCCCCTTAGAGTTAACTTCCTAATCTTAAGCACAGAAAATGTGGACTATTAGTTGAGGTAAGAATAAACAAGGGACTGACACCATTATTTACAACAGTGCCTCTGAAGGGCAAAACAGTTACTACATTTGATGAACTGACCAACACTCTGACACTCCAGATAACTGCACTTTACAGTAGGACAGTGAATGCAACAGGCTGCATCCCAGCTCTTAGGAAAAGAAGCAAAAGATGGCGATGCAGCAACAACGAGCCTGGATTTATTAATGGACTCTTTGATGGCTTTCATTTGTTGTTCATCGAGCATTTCAAATTTAAAGGGATAGTTCAGGATTTTTTGTGAGTGCTTCAAGTTAAACAGGCTCCCTGAGAACACGGCCGTCTGTGGAAAGACTGATGTTAGCCTTCAGTATACTGTAGGATTGATCTGCAGTACTTTATTACTGCATTACTTCATTACTTTATGTTGTAGTTAAACTTTTTCAACAGGAAACTTTTCTCAACCAAACATTATAGAGAAAAACAGTGATTTTCTCTGCAGTTGTTGATCCACTGCTGCTCCTTCACTAATGAGTTCTAATGAGTTTTAATGAGTTCTTCTGTGACTTCACTGTTTGGAATCATCTGTTCACATTCACTTAAGTGACACAGACTGACCACAGGAGGCAGCAGAGGACCAGCAGCTGCTGTATCTCTGTCAGATGGTGTCTGACAGTCAATGGTTTACAAACTCCAGTTGGCAGCCACGTTATCACAGGAGCCTGGTATCTCAGCAGTAAGGGGCGCTCATTAAGCCCTGACTTTGTGTTTGATCTCCTCCTAAGTTTGGATCATGGGGAGACAGCTGGAGGATGGAGTGAGATTCTGGCTCTGCTCAGGATTTTTTTATTCCTCGCACCACAACCTAACCTAAGGAGGAGGAGAGTGGGGAGGAGGACTGACATCAACAAGAAGCTGACATTGCACTGGATTTTTTAAACCTGGCTGGTCTTTTGTATTCTGTGACATTTAATCATCGTTAGGAAACCATGTGCACTCTGTTTTTACTTTGCCAAAGTGTTGTTGTGCTTCTTTTGTTCACTGCGTCCTGTAAATACTGTAACTATGTTGTGTACTTCTACCTGTATCCCAGTTGCATTTATTGACAGTACAACTTATTGATATTTTAAAAATGTCAGTATTCCTCACTGTGATACTACCTACTCTCTCTGCTTGACAGAATATTAAAAATAATATTGTTAATATTTAATGAATATTTGTGGAGAAAGCTGTTTTATAGTAATGTAGCTAAAAAATACCTCATTGTATGAAATGCCATTGGGATCAGCATGGTCTCTTATTTAAACGTTGCCTGTAAGAGATGGTAATTTTTTTTTTATTATAATAAAGAAATAAACTTACAGTCACAACTTGGCATTTTGACATGTGACTACAGAACAATCAGATCCAAACATTCACTAAACCCAGTGCAGTTGTGAACATATCTAATGTACATCATTATATTATATCATGAATCAGTGACCCCCCCTCCACCCAACTAAATAAACATCATACTAACACGACTGCAAAATACTTCCGTTTTGAGGTGGGAAACGATACCGCTGTATATTCTGCTCCGCGACAGTGTCAAGTACACAACGACTCGGAAAGATCGGCAGCCAATCATTGGCCAACATCTGAGGAGGAGAGGAGAGGCCTGAGGAGGTGCGGGCTCATGGGGAATTGGCTATGAGGTCAGGATAGATCCCCCACCCCACTTTGCCTTACTGACCAAAATTCAGATGGAAAACAAACTGCAGAGGAAACCAAGGTCACAATGACACGACGTAGAGGCAAGTGGAACTGCAGCTCAATATTATGCTGCGTCACAGAATAAAAGATTCAATTTTCCTTACACGTAAACGAGAAGTGTTGGGACAAAAAAAGAAGGCGATGACGTAAGTTAGTGTAGAACCAACGTCTCTTGTTACCGAGTTATGTGACATTAAAGCAAAACTGATTAAAGGCTGCTTAAAATTACGCAGATGTGGTAAAGTACATATTTTACCCTGATGTTTAAACACGTGGTGTAACCTATCAAAACACATAAATGTATATATACTGTGATTATGTATGGAAAACTTATAAAATTGTATTTTTTAATTATTTCAAATATAAGATTTTATGATGTAAAACATACACCAAAACAATTAAAAGCACACTTTCTTACAGGCTATTTCTTGTGTAGTGAATGTAGTACTATAGTTGTGTCCTTTTTAAAAACCATGTTGTTTAACTACTTTTATTGTCTTGATCTTTTGGCGCTTTTGTAACAAACAGCAAACCGCGCGTCTTCTGTGTGACGTGCGTTAAGTCACGCAGCCTGATTGGCTAGCGTTGCTGCGTCATATTTAAAGGGACACCATGAGCAGAGTAGCTATTGGCTGAGGGCGTTCAAGCGCCAAGATTTCAATGAAAAGACCGAGCTGAGAGGAAAGCGATTTAGTCTGAGTGTGTGAGAGGAGTGTGTGTTTGTGCTGCTGCTGTCTGTACAACGTTCCGTCCTTTTCTTTCGCTGTCTTTGTAACTCTTCTTCTTCTTCTTCTACTGACGCTATTTATTGACTTCCCTCAGAAAAAAATGCTCTCCGCTCGCTCTTCTCTGTCTGTCAAAGACGAGAATATTCTCGTCAGCCAGACCAACAAAATGGCGTTGGACAAAGAAAACACGGTGAGAAGAAAGTCTATTTTTCTTTGATTTACTCCGTTTTTTGGTTACTTGCCTGCCGAAATCTGTGGCGGCCATTTTGTCCGAGCTCAGCCTCGTCTGTCAGTTGTTCCCTGTTTTAATCAAACGGATCCCTAAATTTGACTGTGTTGCTGGTGTTTCGTTGTGATCATTGTTGGTTTAGTTTTATTTTATTTTATTTTTTTCAGCCTCCTGGTCTAAACAAATCCCGTACGTTAGCGTCGAAAACCGCGCGGAAAATCTTCAGTGATGCATCGGTGAGTGACGTAATTTTCCTCCAGAGCTTCCTGTGATCAATACTGTCATCTGCCAGTTTATCATTCGTGTAACCTGACGGTCTGATGTACCAACAGAGTTATACTGTCTTTCCATGATGTGTCATTCTATACCTTAATACATTGAGGCACACATCTCATTTATGTGACGTCATTCTCTGTCGCCTCAGAAGAGACCAAACTTGACTATGTCGGTAATGATGTGAACAAATGGAGGTCACATAAAACAAAAGTTGTTTTTTTTTTTTTTCCAACCCTACTTGTTTTTCAGCCTAAGAAAAGCAGCAGCAACGGTGGCGAAGAGGAGGTGGAGCCTCTGCTGAAGGACAACCCCAGTCGGTTTGTCATTTTCCCCATAAAGTACCACGACATCTGGCAGATGTACAAGAAGGCTGAGGCCTCCTTCTGGACGGCAGAGGAGGTGCAGGACGTTAGCATTCTTAGCTGTGGCAGTGAAGTTAGTGTGTACTGTATGTGGACTGAGGTCTAATATCTGGTCTGGTCTCAGGTGGACCTGTCCAAAGACCTGCAGCACTGGGAGTCTCTGAAGGATGAGGAGAGGTACTTCATCTCACACGTGTTGGCCTTCTTCGCCGCCAGTGACGGCATCGTCAATGAGAACTTGGTGAGTGTGACGGCGTCCGTGTCTGGTTGATCAACGGTGGGGTCGGCGTCTGCTTCATGTCCCACTGTTCTACCTTGTGACCACCAGGTGGAGCGCTTCATGCAGGAAGTGCAGGTGACGGAGGCACGTTGCTTCTACGGTTTTCAGATCGCCATGGAGAACATCCACTCTGAGATGTACAGCCTCCTGATCAACACCTACATCAGGGAGCCACAGGAGAGGTGACTTACTGTGTCTATACTGCCCCCTAATGTTGGCACCCATTCTGCTGTGTTTGTTCTAATGCTGTGTTCACTGACCTCCAGAGAATACCTGTTTAATGCCATTGAGACTCTGCCCTGTGTGAAGAAAAAGGCCGACTGGGCTCTGAACTGGATCAGCAGCAGAAACGCCAGCTATGGTAGAAGGACTAATATACTGCAGTACTACACTGTTACTCACTGTGGTACTAACCATGTGGCTGATCATGTGACCACCAGGAGAGCGGGTGGTGGCCTTTGCTGCAGTGGAGGGAATTTTCTTCTCTGGTTCCTTCGCTGCCATCTTCTGGTTGAAGAAGCGTGGCCTGATGCCCGGCTTGACCTTCTCCAATGAGCTGATCAGCAGAGATGAGGTAACGACCTCACACTGATGTCATCAGTCAGCAGCGTTTGTCCGGTTACTTTACTGTTTGTTGATTGGCTGCTTCCAGGGCCTTCACTGTGACTTTGCCTGTTTGATGTTCAAACACCTGCTGAAGAAACCGTCCAGAGAAACCGTGACCAAGATCATCAAGAACGCCGTGGAGATCGAGCAGGTGGGCGGAGTCGTCGCTTCACAGTGTGGCGGTGGCAGCTTGTGGTTTGGTTGTTGACTGTTGTTGTCCTTTGTTCAGGAGTTCCTGACTCAGGCTCTGCCTGTGAAGTTGATCGGGATGAACTGTGATCTGATGAAACAGTACATTGAGTTTGTAGCTGACAGACTGATGCTGGAGCTGGGCTTCGCCAAGGTAACCGCACACACACACACACACTCAGCAGAGCTGCTGATGCTAATGTAGCTAAGCTAGCTCAGGTGTGTGGTGATGAGAAGCGCAGGGGTACCGATGTCAGCTGATGATGAGAGCTGAGTTCTGCTGAGAGTCTGATCAGAGGACCAGTGGTCCACTGATGGATGTCAGCAGGACTAGAGCCACGCCCATCTGAACACACTCTACTTACTGCTGTCACTGTGACCTCTGACCTCCTCCTTAGCTAGTTAACAGTGTTGTGACCTCTGACCTCCTCAGATCTATAGGGTGGAGAACCCCTTTGACTTCATGGAGAACATCTCTCTGGAGGGAAAGACCAACTTCTTTGAGAAGAGAGTGGGGGAGTACCAGAGGATGGGGGTGATGGCTGGGAGCTCCGACAATGCCTTCAGATTGGACGCAGACTTCTGAGGATGCCCCCTGGTGGACTGGAAGTGTCTCTGTGGAACCGCTTTTAAAATCCTATGGTCATGTCTGCCCTTCATGAGGGGGTGCTAAAGGCCAGAATTAATTTATGCTTTTATGACTTGAGTTTTATTTTGTTTTGACTGATTGCTATGACTTTATCTGATGGTGTAGAAAATGTACAGTCTGAACATTTTTGTAATAAACTAACATAACTCCAATTTTTAATGGTCAACTTTGCTACAACCAAAGGACATGAACTGTTTGTCAGTGGTGGTAGTATTTTAGTAAAGGGACCTGGGTCTGGAATGTTTCAGGTTCGAGTCCACCAGCTGCTAAGTCACCACTGAGGTGCTCTGACCATGGCACCGTCCCCACACGCTGCTCCCTGGGTGCTTCAGCTGCCCCCTGCTGACTTGCTGATGGCATCTGCTGTGGACCTGTTTGACCTACTGTATATGCAAACTGAAAGGGCCATGGACGTGGGGGGGGGCGTCCGTACGCTCCGTCATCTTCATCAGAATCGGTTTTCTGTCAGGTGTGGTTTCATTTTTGGTTCATTTGAGTAAAAGTCTTGTAAAATGTAATGTGAGGGAGAAATGTAATTAATATCCTGGAACGTCGACACGAGATGACGTCACAGCTCATTTCCATGATGGCCAACCACTGACGTCATAAGCGGAAGTGAACACTCGCAGAGTGCAGATCTATCAGGATCAGCTGCTAAGCGCAGAACGCCACGCAAAATGCTAGTGTCACGTACAAGGCAGACGTTTTTAAAGCCGGTGAGTGTGTGACGTTTGTTGTGACGGCTTTGGCCGCGTACCTTATCGTCAGGTGCAGAAACTAGTTTGAAAACCTGACTTTGTGAATTCATTAAAGCACGTGTTTTTACAAACATCTTTTCGGTGAAAACGAAACCAAAACCTACTGCTTGACAGAGAAAGGAATTTTGAGCTGTAACAGAATCTGTAGTTGTGTTTGAAAGACGCAACGTAATTCCGACATTTATGTGAAAAGTTTTAGGATTTGAGGTTTGGTGACTGTGATGTCACATCTGCTTTCAGAGTATTCCCTTCGCTGGGACAATTCTCGGTGGTTTGCTTCCCGGTGAAATGGTTCTGGTTCAGGGCTCGGTTCCCGTTGGTGCTGACAGGTGAGTCAGGTCCACATAAGTCCATAACCAGGGCTGAGTCAGTCATCCTTAACAGAGGGGCGGAGCCAGTATCAGGGGACTGGGTGCACAGCATTGGATTGGATGTTCAACGGTGTAAGATGTTTGTTGATGTTATTTTTAGTTAATGCTAAGCTTACGCCAAATGCTAATGTTAATGCTAAATCTAACAATGTTAAGCTGTAGGGACGTTATGTTGCTCCTCAGTGTTATTAATAAAGTCTGTTAACAGCAGACGGTGCTATTGTTACACATAAACAAATGTAGGCTGTGCAGAAATAGTTCTGTTTCAACTTTTGTACTTTTGACCCAACAGGGGGAGGCAAGATGACGTGTTGGTGTCTTTAAATCTCAGGTTATCACGTGATGAAGGTCAAAGTGTGGCTAAATCATTTCTGTGGTAGATTCCAGGTAGACCTGGCGTGCGGCAGCAGCATGAAACCTCGCGCAGACGTGGCCTTTCACTTCAATCCTCGCTTCAGTGGCTCCCCATGTGTTGTGTGTAACACACTACAGTGTGAGCGCTGGGGTCCGGAGGAGATCCAGCACCAGAACCCCCTGAAGAGCGCTCACACATTTGAACTGGTCTTCCTGGTCCTGCAGGACAAGTTTAAGGTAATGATATCAACAAACATGACCAGAAGTTCCTGTGACTGGGGAGGTCATGTGCAAGATGTTTGACTTTTGATTGGTCAAACTTTTTGGGACATTTCATTGGATTTGGAAAAGATTTTTGTGATTTTTAATTTTTTTTCCACATTTTTACACCAAAGTCATTCTGTGCTTCGTGATGATTGGTCCATTTGTGTTTTTGTTATTCATAGTGTAAGAGGTATTTGACTGTATTTGGAGGTATTTCTTAGGACTTTAATGTTTTCACCAAAGTACAGTTTTACATTTGTAGTATTTGAACAATTTTTTCCAGTCATCAGTTCTTCTTTTTCTCCAGGTGGCGGTCAATGGCGCTCACCTTTTACAGTACAAACAGCGTGTGGCACTGGAGCGTGTTGACACAATACTCATCTCTGGAAAAGTGGCGGTCGAAGTAGTGGGCGTCGTCCCGTCAATGTCGGTGAGTCTCCAAAAGAGGGTGATATTTTTGAGTGTGAGCAGGAATCGTGACTTGTTTGTGTTTGGTTTTAGAACGCTCCCCTGGCTGTTAGCAACATTCAGGACTCACAGATGAAGGTGAAGACGTCATGTTTGCTGATGACATTTTGAACTATGTTTAAATGGTTTCTTTTGTTCTCTTTCAGTCTATTCTTTCCACTGCGGGAAACACAGTAAGTTTCTTTGACTCAACAAATTGTCTGTCTCTATTTATTTACCATCTTATATATGTATATCTGTGTGTGTGTGTGTGTGTTTACAGCGGGTTCCATTTTCTGGTTTTCTCGGAGATGGACTGAGAGTCGGACAAAGCGTCTCCATTCGAGCAGAGACCAATCACAATGCTCAAAGGTAATGATTACATCATACTATACCCATTTTGCTCAACTTATCAGCAGCCTTTGACACAGTCAATCACCTGGTCCTATTATTGATACTCTCAGACATGGGCACTAGTGGCAGTGCACACCTGGTTTGAAACTTCCTGGTTGGTGGTTAGGGCACTTATCTGCCTCACAATACCTTGTCACCATGTACACCACCTGGATGGACCAGGTCATTTGCTCACATGGTTTCTCTAATCACAGCTATGCTGATGATAACCAGCTCTCGCTGTCACCGCCACCTGTTGACTCCACAGTGTCAGCACCAGTCTCAGATGGTCTCTCTGACATATCTGCCTGGGTGGAAGCCCGCCACCTCCAGGTCAACCTCTCCAGCACTGAACTCCTGGTCTTCCCAGCCAAGTCAACCCTACATCATGACATCTCTGGGTGTCACCATGGACAACCAGCTGTCCTTTATAGATCACGTTGGTCATGGGGACATTGACTTGATCACTTGTCTCAAAATCTGCCAAAGCTGTGTTTTTGTAAAACTGTTGAAGCACTTTGAGCTGCACGATTGTATGAACTGTGCCTTAGAAATACAGTTATTATTATTGTTATTGTTATTATGTTGCCAATGTTGCTGTGTTGCTTTACAGTTTTCAATATAAGAAATATCAGGCCACACCCAACCCAACAGGTTACACAACTCCTGGTACAGACCATTGTCAGGTCCCACCTTGATGACTGCGGGGGTCTTCCTAGCCCCCTAGCCTGTGCTACAAAACCCCTGCAGATGGTCCAGAATGTCTGGTCTTCATATAAAAGGACTGAGCTACACTGGCTACCCACCAGCATCAAATACAAATCACTGTTGCTAACCCATAGCAGGACCAGTATTGCTCATACTGGTCCTGCCCCCTGATGTTACCCCCTGACCACTCCACTAAACTGGGAACATTGTCTGGCAGTCCCAACACCTCGTACAAGACAATCCAGGCTCTTCCTGCACTGACCAACACCCTAGTTAAGAAATCTCACTTTACTAACTAGCAGTCTCCTCTTAAAGTCACTGCTGATGTATATGTATATGTAAGTGTAGTAATCAGTACCAGGCAGCAGTGGAAACAAACACATGAGGAAGTAAAATCCTGATTCAGGTTTTTCTTTTCCTAGTTTCTGTGTGAACCTGTGTTCATCAGAAAGCAGTGACATCGCTCTTCACCTCAACCCTCGACTGAAGTCTCGCATTTTCGTCAGAAATTCGTTTCTGTCTGACAGCTGGGGTTCGGAGGAAACGGCACTGGACGGATTTCCCTTCATGGCAGGACAGTACTTTGAGGTAAATTACATTTTTGGTCAAATGAAAAACTTTCTATGAAACTTTGTCACATGTTTTCAGTTTAATGGGGAAATGTTTGGTATCTGTTCTTTGCAGATGATCGTCTACTGTGACTCGCAGCACTACGGAGTGGCTGTGAATGGAGACCACATTCTCACCTACAAACACAGGGTCCAGGACCTGAGGAGGATCAACCAGGTGGAGGTTCAAGGCGATGTCTCACTGCTGGATGTAAAACTCCACTGATGGAGGACAATGGTGTGGTCATATCTGTCATCACATGATGAAAGTGATCCAATAAACATCAACTTTGATGAACACTTAGAAGTACAACATTATCACAGTATGACAGTCAGGAGAGGCTGAGAAGTAAGTGTGGTGAAGGACAGAGACACAGTAGCTCGGTGTGCTGTCAGAGTGATGGATTGGTTGAAGGTAGAGGTGGGGTTACAGCAGTACTTCCTAAATAGTGGGGTGGGCCCCCTGGGCGGTGCGGTAAGGTGCCAGTGGGGGGCTTCCAATGGAATATGGCATGCTGGACATACTGTAGGTGTACCACAGCTGTGAAAACATTTCTGAGGGGTGGGGGCATGAAAGAAAATACTTGAGAACCACTGGGTTACGTCAAGGTCCAGCTCTGAGCCTTGTTTTGTTTGCTAGACAGTTTGACACATAAGGTTCAACAGGAGGTTCCGTGGACCACTGTACAACCTCCATGTTGAACTCACTTCTTCAGTGCTCAGCAGCCTCCCCTGTGTTTGCCTGTCATGTGACTCACCATGGAAGGACCTGGAGTGAAGTATGTATTTTGCCAGTCCTCAGTCGGGGTCTTTCAGTAGCCAAGGTTTGAACCACACAATATTTCCATATCTTTTCCAAACATGTTAATAAAGTTTTTCAAAGACCTAGAAAATTCAATTTCGATTTCCAAAACGTTTTCAGGTTTTCCATGACTGTACCAGCACTGCTATTAGCATTGTATGTTGCTTTCCGTCAGTGGTTGACAACCCTAACCCTGACGTACCAAAATTTTAAGCATAAAAAGCAAGTACCTACATGTTTTTAACTAACTGCAGGAATTCGACCACCGATCTGTGCTCAAGCTCGGCTTCATTTCCATGATTATCGTCATTTATTTTGTTTAATTATACGTTGGGAATCATCTTGGTGGTTAAGGAAGTGGTCACATTGTTGTGTGCAGTGCTTCACTTTCCTTCTATCTTTAGCATCTCATGTGGGGACAGTGCCTTGCTCAGAGCATCTCAGTGGAAACTTAGCAGCTGATGGACTCGAACCTGAAACTGTTTAATAAATATTTAAAAAACATTTCAATTCAAATTCAAAAATACACCACGTATTACGAACTTGTCTTTTATTTTTTAGGTTGGTGAAGGCTTTTATTTCCAATAGCAGACCGGAACTGGGGTGGCTGTTTCCGATAGGGCTCGACGCATCTTCTCACAACTACGCCGTTGATTCTGAGAAAAAACCCCCGACAAAAACAAACAACCCCGACTGAAAATCCCAAATCGATCCTCGACTAATCTGAAGAAGCTGAAGGTCAGTGTTTGTTTGTTTGTGTATTTATATCTACGCGTCTGTGACGTCACTTCAAAATGTCAATACCGATGGTTAGATGAGATGACGGATAATCGGTGAACAGATGAAATGATTGTTGTAGAAATGATCTTCACGATAACTCCAGGACTTAACGTCTTGTCCCGTCCACAGGTGGCAGAATAATATGTCTGGTTCTTCTCCGTTCCCGTTGCTTCTCCTCCTCCTCGTCAGCATCTCATCCTCTGAGGATCTAGATCTGGTTCGCAGGAACTCAGATTTTGCGGCTCGACTGTTTCGATCAGTTGCCAGTCGCAGTGATGACAACGTCTTTTTGTCGCCACTCACACTAAGCGCCGCACTGACAGCGCTCGCCAGCGCCACCACGGGGTCCACGCATGAGCAGCTTCTAAAAGGATTGGGACTGTCTGGACTGGACGTGAGCACTGTGACAGGTGAGTGGAGGTGATGGGGCATAGTGTTGTTTAGTCACCTGTTGGAGGCGCTGAACTTTCTGGGTTTCAGATTTTTTTCAGAACTTGCAGAACTCCAAACCTGCCCACCTTCTCTCTGGTCTGGGCCTGTTCCCTGACCAACACGTGCAGTTGCAGTCGTCTTATGTGGACCTGGTCCAGAACAAACTCGGTGCAACTGTCCAAAAGGTAGTGTACAGTGAACCACAGGAAGCAGCTGATCTTATCAACCGTTGGGCCCAGTACCAGACTGGAGACCAGGTCAAGGACATAGTGACAGATCTGGACTCTCAGACGCCGCTACTTCTCGCCTCTGTGGCTTCCTACCAGGGTACGTTGCAACGTCCTACATATTCCGTTCAGTAGAGGGCACTAGTTTTCACTAGCTGACGTAAAATCTGTCAACATTTTGTTTGATGTCTGGTGAGATTGTGTTTTTCATTGTGATTTGTTATCAACCTTGTGTGTCTGGGTGCAGCGGGGAGAGGGGATTAGGGGGGCTGAGGACAGCTGGCTCCACCTGTTCGCCCGGACCGTGGAGCCAGGATGAAAGCTCCAGGTGTATCTGTTCTAGAAAAGTGTGTTCACAGCGTTTTCATCTAGACCTTCGAGAATGGATCACCATAGTAACTTAGGTTAGGGTTAGCGTTAGTATTATCCTGGTCTTGGGATATGGGTTAGCGTTATCCTGGTCTTGGGTTAGCGGTATCTGTTCACTGTATAACGACTTAGCTCATCAACTCATGTTCCCTGATGTTTAATGTCTTTCAGGCCGTTTTCAACCTGCATTCAATGCTTCACTGACTCAGGAGGAGCGCTTCTATGTGGATCGGTACCATGTGGTAATGACCAGTATGATGTTTCGGGCTGACAAGTTTTTCCTGGCGTACGACCGTGCACTGAAGACGGGCCTCCTGAAGCTGCCCATGACGGAGGGGGCAGCCATGTTGGTGGTATTTCCTGACGCAGATGTTGATGTCACAGTGGTGGAGGAGCAAGTGACATCAGAGAAGATCCAAACCTGGATCCAACAGCTAAAGAAGACGTATGCATCACCTCATTGTCCCACACCCTGGTCCCAGACCCTGATCCCCAACCCTAGTCTTGTCCTGGACCCTGGTCCTAGACTTTGATCCTGGACCCTGGTTTCATGTTGAGCTCCCAAAAAGATTTCTGTACAAACTCCTCTGAACCAGTGATTTTCTCTTAGTTTTTCTTGGTTCTGTTTCCACTTTAATGAACAGACAATGAATGATCACAAATCAATTGTTTAAACCTTATTCTGTTTGTTTTTAATCAGGAAGTTGGAGGTGCAACTCCCACGCTTCCTGTTGGAGCGATCGTACACTCTGAAGAACATCCTGATGGACCTGGAGGTCACTCAGGTGTTCCAGGAAGATGCTGACCTCACAAACATGAGCGGGACCAAAGGAACCAGACTCACACAGGTACTGATGAACCAGAGAAGGAGGGCTGGTACTGATGAACCTTCTCTTTAGTATCTGAAATAAACTTATCTCCAGGTTCTGTCCTGTGTTGATATTAGCGCCACCTGGTTTTAAGATGTTGGTTGATGTTGGTTACATTACTGGACTACAGTCTGTCTGGTTCTGGTGGTTCTGGTTTGAAAACTAATTGTGGAATCTTTGACTTTTAGGTTTTCCATAAATCACTTCTCTCGGTGGATGAGAGCAGTGATGACATCACTGCAGGGGGTGGAGCTACAGCTTTCTCTTCTCCACCGCCTCGATTAACCATCAACAGACCTTTCATCTTCATTATCTACCAGCAGATTAGTGGGAACATTCTGGGCATGGGCCGAGTGCTGGATCCCAGCAGGAAGTAGAACCACACAGGCCCCGCCTACTTTTGGCTGTCCATCAATGCTTGGATGTTTTTGTGATTGCTATTGTGACATTAAGACGCAGGTTTGTTCGTGGTTGGTACTCAGGTTGGTGAATGCGGTAGGATGCTAAGCTAATAGTTATATTACAGTAGTAATAGGAGTTAGGAGTTCAAGGTCATGACCTTCTGTCACAAGACTTTAAATGTTTTACTTTTGCACCATATATTTTCATCTGTGTGAGCTAGCCTGTATATATATGTGTATATATATATATGTATATGTGTATATATATATATATATATACATATATATATATATATATATGTTTGTGTAGAGTCCTGCTGCCGAGAACCCATTTCTACTTCACAATATGTAACGTTTGCTGCCCCAAGAGAAGGATCAGTGTAATGGCATCTTATAGCTTATGTAATGGCTTATATAAACAAACTGAAACTATAATATAATGTTAGCAGTGATGTTAATAAACTCTCTGGTCGTCACTGGTCTTTGTCCTGGTCTAACTGACCTACATAGGACCAGGTGTATATACGTATATGCTGGTCTTTGGATTATGACGTCCTTTGCCGTCTCGTGGTTACGCACCATCTCTCATGAATTTTTTTAAGAAATCTTGTTCCATCATTTCGACGTATGGTGTTAAAACTAGCTAAGTAGCAGAGTGGAAGAATATGTAGTCATGTGACTTCTTTACATTTGCTTTCTTTCATTTGTTGTTTTTTTGGAAACTTTTTTCCCTTCATTATGGCCCCTAGGCATAACTCAGACTTCTGATTTTTTATGTCATAGATTATGATGTCATCATTGTGTTAGCGTTGCTGAGTTACGAAGGTACTGAAGTACGGCATGTGAGTTAGGTTACGAGTTACCGTAGGAACAGAACTACAGAATATTTGTGGCTCCTCCCCCTCAGACCTCACCTCAGAATTTGAAGATTATTCTGAGTTCAGTGACCTGAGTGACAACGAACTGCTGCAACTCTGGAGCAGTGAAGACGCTTCCTCTAGACTGACCAATCAGGCTCCTCCATCTGGCCATCTGGTGGATGGGTCTGGGATTAGAGGTTGGAGGACAGCATTGGAGAGAAGATTATGGGATGGCACTGTTTTTTAGGGGTGGGTCCCTTAGTTCTAGTTGAAGGAACTCTGAGTTCTTTTGGCCAAACTGTTTAACTCTTTAATGATGCCCCCGCCCTTGTCCCTGTCCCAACATGACTGCGCAGCAGTGGTCCATTAAGAACTCGGTGTGGACGGACTTGACTGGTCTGGACACAGTCCTGATGGGATTGAAGGAGCCAAACCAGGACCCCCATCAGTGTGTGACCTCACAGACGGGTGTTTGAAAGAATTAAAGCTGCGAAGACTAAACCCATGTCATACTAAATATACATTTATATATATTGTAGGGCTGGACATTTGAATGTGTGAACTTATTAATTAATTAACACTGATAATTATTTTATCACACACTAACGTATTTATTGCTTTATTATTTAAAATTGATGTTAAACAACTTTTGTTCACTGGCTTTTATAGTTACTGCTGTGGTGCCATCAGGGATTGACCTTTCACATTTCATTTAGAACAAATAGGGTTAGAGACTTTTATTTTGAAATGCTTAGTCCAGAATTCTTGTAATTTGAGAGTCATAGACAGAGTCAGCTGAGTGGCCCAAAATAACCCGACACAAACACTCGCACAGAGTTTTAAACCCAAACTGAAAAGGACCTCGAAAATAAGTAAGAAACTTTTGTTGTTTGTTTTTCTTTGTTCATTTTTTGTTCTTTGTTCTTTAATTGAATTTGTTTATTTCATATTTCTGACAGGTCACAGGCCCCTTTCATTTCACTTTGAACTACTTGCTATAACTTGTTTACTAGTTGAAAATTAATTTAAACATGTATGCATGTATATATATTTATATATATTTATGTCATACAATAACAATATTATAAAAAAACCCATTTTATTCAAAACTTCCAAGTATCTGGACACATACCCGTCCTCCTCCCTTTCCTCCACAGATTGTTCTAACTTTTCTACCGCTATGCTAACGATCAGAGTCCAGTTGGTCTGGTCGTATTAATGGAATCATCAGAAAATATTTGTGGCTCCTCCCCCTCAGACCTCACCTCAGAATTTGAAGATTATTCTGAGTTCAGTGACCTGAGCGACAACGAACTGCTGCAACTCGCTATCGAACGCAGTCTGAGAGACACACGGTACGGAAATGCTAGGGATGCTAATAGAGACAGCGGCGCTGCGTCGTCCAGCAGTGTGTCCAGACACGATGACAATCCTCAGGTCCAGACCACAGCTCACTATAGTACACCCAACCCTCCCAGTGAAAAACTTCCTGACCTGAAGACCTTCGATGGAACGGTCCACTCCTTTGTGACGGGTTCTGGAAAGAGGATGTTAGCGTACCGCAGGTCAGATGGGGCTCTGCTCCACATTGCTCCAGAACCAAAAGAGTGAGTTCTTTTTCAGTTAAATGTTCAACCAATGGTGAAGGACGGGCTGCCGACAGAGCACACTCTATTGAAAAGAGTCTGTAACTGCAGGTTTGTGGTGTTTAATACGTGCAGGGAGGAGGAGCCGCTTTTCACCGCCATTCGCGACGGAGACATTAGCAGGGTGAAAGCTCTGGTGTCATTCCTAGGAACCAATTTGATGCTCCCCAGTAAGCCTGGTTGGCTCGCCATCCACCAGGCGGCGTTCTACGGCCACAGAACGTGTCTGAATATCCTACTATCAGGTACCAGGATTTACAGCAGACTCAGTTCTTGGAGTGGGTCAGCGTAATTCTGTGTCTGTTTTCAGCTCAGCCTGGAATGATAAATAAACGGACAGATAATGGTGAGACAGCGTTACTCATCGCCATCAGCAGGAGGCATGTGAGCTGCGCCCAGGAGTTGCTGGAAAAAGGAGCTGATCCTGACCTCCCCAACCATGAAAAGGAGACACCGCTGTTCAAAGGTAAAGGTGAAGGAAGTGATGTCACGGATGACTGTGGACAGATCACAGGCCCCTCCCCTCTGTCAAATTTTGTTTTTCCCACAGCCTGTGAACGCAGCAGTGCAGAGATGGTGGCTGTGCTGTTGAACCACGGTGCAGCGGTGAATACACACTGTCTCCAGGGATGGACGGCGCTACAGCAGGCTGTGTTTGTAAACAACGTGGAGATTTGTGAGATGCTGCTGAAGAGTGGAGCAAAACACAATGTTACCAACATGTACGGCATCACACCGCTGTTCACCGCTGCACAGACGGGGCAGGTGGCAACACTGCGTTTCCTCATCCAACACGGTGAGGGCGCTACTCCCAGCTGCTTTACCTAGTTACTGGTAGATACTGGTTCATTAAAAAATGCAATTCTAAACATGTGACCTTTCTGGTGACTTCCTTACAGTCAGCCTGACCTTTGATCTCTGACCCTGCAGGTGCAGAGGTCAACAGTCAGGCTGCAGATGGAGCCACTGCTCTTTACGAAGCTGCCAAAAATGGACACGTGGAAATCATTGAACTTCTCCTATCGCAAAACGCAGATGCTAACAAACCAGGAAAATCAGGGTTATTTCCGCTGCACATCGCTGCCCAAAAAGGAGATGAGCGGTATGACCACCTTGATGATTTTGTGCTTATAATAATGTCAATTTTTTAAATGTGGGGCGTGGGAATCGGGGGTCAGACCTCAGGTACTGCAGGTCTGGACCTATGCAGATCTTATCGTCTTGGATCTTTCTTCTTACAGGATTGTCTCCATGTTGATACCAGTAACCAGTAAAGCACGAGTCAGACGGATCGGCATCAGTCCTCTCCATCTAGCAGCGGAACGAAACCGGGATGATGTGCTAGAGTCTCTGATCGAGGCAGGTTTTGACGTGAATGCTAAGCTGTCAGACGACTGGTCCAAGCTGTATGAAGACCGTCGCAGCACCCCTCTCTACTTCTCCGTCAACAACAACAATGTGGACGCTGTTCAAATGTTGCTGGCAGCTGGTGCCAACCCAAACCTGGACATGTTTAGGCCACTGATGGTAGCAGCCCGACAGAGATGCATCCAAACTGTAACCCTGCTGGTGGAGCATGGTGCTGACATCAACGCCAGCATTCCCACCCACCCCACCACCTTCCCTGCTGTCTACATGTTCTCCATGAAGTACCTGCCTATGTTTAAGTACCTGCTGGATCATGGAGGCCACGCCCGCTCCTGCTTTGACTGTATTTACGGTAACCACCCTCATCCACCAATCAACACCAACCGATCAGAGAGAGAGAGTGCCCCCCACAGAGAGTCTCCACTGAGAGCAGGTGTTCAGGTGATCAACACATTATGATTGGTAGTTCTATCAATTGGTCGAGCAATTCATTGGTTAATTGGTCAGTCTGTTGGTTGGTTGGATGTTTGTTTGGTTTGTTGATTGGTTGGTTGGTTGTTTGGTTGGTTATTTGTTTGTTTGTTTGGTTGTTGATTGGTTCATTGGTTGGTTGGTTGTTTGTTTGTTTGGTTGGTTGGTTGTTGGTTTGTTGGTTGGTTGGTAGTTCTGTGAGATGATTTCAGTTCCGAGCATCTGTCGGTGGGCAGGACCGATCATTGACGTACTGTTGGACTACGTTGGTCATGTGACCCTTTGCTCTCGGTTGGTGGAACATCTTGACAGCTTCTCTGACTGGAGCCATATCAAAGAAAAAGCAGGTGAACAATAACAATAATTGATCAGTCAGTGACCTTTATAGTGACCTTTGTAGTGACTTTTATAGTGACTGTTGTGTGTTGTTTTGTTTTCTTAGCATGGCCCCGCCCTCTCATACATCTATGTCGTCTGAACATTCTGCAGCGAGTTGGCCGTCCACGTTTGAAGAAGTTACCACTCCCCTCCAGTTTGATTCGTTTTCTGCAGTATCAGTAAATGCCACTTTGATTGAACCATGATGTCAGGAGACTGTATGTGATGTCACTGAGATCTGTATGTGTGGATAAATACAGTAGAGTGTCGTCTGTATGTGTGGATGAATACAGTAGAGTGTCATCTGTATGTGTGGAGAAATACAGTAGAGTGTCCTCTGTATGTGTGGATGAATACAGCAGAGTGTCATCTGTATGTGTGGATGAATACAGTAGAGTGTCATCTGTACGTGTGGATGAATACAGCATAGTGTCATCTGTATGTGTGGATGAATACAGTAGAGTGTCATCTGTATGTGTGGAGAAATACAGTAGAGTGTCATCTGTATGTGTGGAGAAATACAGTAGAGTGTCGTCTGTATGTGTGGATGAATACAGTAGAGTGTCATCTGTATAGCAGGTAAAGGTGATATGATGCTTTTTAGTAATTTTTCCTGATAAGCTTTGATTAGTTGTAGGTTTGTGTTTTGTGTGTAGGTGAGTTCAGCTCTGAGGGCTCTATAAGATTGAGCAAGTTTCGAGAACTAACATTTTGAACAGTTTGAACTGTTGGAGAACAAATTTTGGCCGGAACATGCAAAAACCAAACAACCGGCCGCAATTTTTAATAAAATATATGACTCTTGATAGTAAAAAACCTAATTAAAAAATTAGAATATATATATTTGTATATACATATATATGTATGTATATATATATATATATATATATATATATATAGTGAACGCATCTCGCAGCACATCGCACAATGCCAGGTTTATTCTAACATATATGACAACAAAGTAACAACACAAAATACTGTACGTCTTGATTTTTTGCAAGGGAGAATGCAGCTGACTTTTCTGGCAGCTTCCTCATCAACTCCGAGTAGCCACACACTTCCTCTGCACTTTTATTGAGTTTATAAAAGTATCAGATTACAGGTCATGTGATGGTGTGTGAGTATATGGATGGGTATGGAGTAAGAATGTGGGTGTGACTGTGTCTGGTCATTTCTCCATCAGTCTTGAGCACACTAGATTATAATATTAGAAGCAAACAGTTTCTTAAAGTGACAGTACAGCATGAAGCAATGATAATAAATTCAATTCTTCCAACATTTCCCTCCTGTTTATCATTGATGAATGCCAAATTCTCTTATCCTGCATTATGGCTCCTTAGGCTCGGTGTTCAATCATTTGCCTTTATGAGGAGTAAATGCTCCTGTTTTAGTTTTATTTGAAATTGGTGGGAAGAATGAATTATAGGTGCCAACAAAGTTGTGTCATGTTTTGTTATTTCATTCGTGATTACTACTCTAATGAATTCCATTAGATCTACTCCAGTCTGATCCAAGGACCAAATATATTTCAGTTGGATTTGTTTTACCTGAGAGTTTCCAATTACACCCCGTTGGTAATTTAGTCCAATTCAGGGTCACAGTGATCGGATTTTGGGTGTTGTAAAAATCATGTTGTACTTTCAATTGATTTATTGAAGTCTTTGTCTCTGTACACATTTTTATCTGACATTGTGGGAATCCATTGACCTGTATATCCTACTACCATGTTCCAATCTTCACACCATGCTCTACGGGGCAGCCAAGAACAGGAATAAATAAATAAATAAAGTTCTCATCGAATGTGGATAAAGACAAGGATCACATTTTAAAAAGGTTTATATACATTTGTATATCTGTACTTTCATACAGTATTTTATACTGAATTTGCAACACTGCGAATTGACTTAGGGCATTCGTTTGTTTTTTAATGAGGCTCTTGAGCTAGCTCCTGTTTGTTATTTTCGAGTCACATGACAATCCAGCAGAACGACACTTCCGGGCTTAACGATACTTCCGGGATAAGCCTAAAGTCTGAAGCTAAACTTGATGGAAACGAATTTGCGTCAAGGAAGGTGAGTTGATCTAAAAGAGCTATCAAGCTGCAGACGCGCTGCCAACTAAACCAAACTATCGATAAACAAGCTGCTAAAGGAACTAACCGGCTTAAAAACAAGCTGCTAAAGGAGCTAATAGGGTAAAAGCTGCTACTACAAACTAACTATTATGGGCAGTCGGTATAGTCATGAATAGTTTTTCTGACAGTACGAAGGATGTGATGACTTTCATAGTTTTATGTCTGTAAACAAAAGCTGAAAACGTACTCTAGCTTTTTGTTTTGTTTACTTGTTTTTTCCTATTTATTGAGCCACAAACAGGAGACGTCTCCGTCAAACATGAAGCTGTCAACAAAAGCGACGAGATCTTCTTTATTAAAACCAAAGTATCTGCTCCGTTTGAATTACAGCAGTTTAATGTGGATATGATATGAGATTTATTAAGGAAGTCTTGTTTTCTAATTTCAACGATGAAAACGGCAGGTTACATTCGCTGGTGGTGTGCCATATTTTTTGAAACATTTTACCCCTTTATGGCTCACAAGCATTTTTGTACCCAATCTTGTCAGTGTTAATATCCCACCATCCAGGAAATTATTTAAAAACTTCATCCTCAAGATGGAGACTTAAATCCTAAATCTGGATTTTTATTATGAACTGTATTTTTGGTCAAACTTGTTTCACCTTTTCTTCTCCTACAACAACAGTGCTTTAAATATTTGTAGCCACCCTGAGTTAGGGTGTACTGGTTATTAATCAGTCATTTGTTCTCTTCTGACAGTATGGAGGATGATGAACTTCAGACAGAGGATGGGCTGGGTGGGCGTGGCCCTCTATCTGCTGCTCAGTGCCATGGCTGTCTACTACATTTTTGAGGTGAACACACTCAATTTCGAACGTGTACAGAGAGGCGTGATTGGCTTGTCTGCTGCACCACCCGCTGCCTCATGGTCTCCACTGCTGTCACTTCCTGTGTGGATGTGGGCATCTGTCTTCTTGCTGCCGTACCTGCAGCTCTTCCTGTTCCTGTTTTCCTGTACCAGGGCAGATCCTCGTGCGGTGGGCTACTGTGTTCTTCCTGTCTGCATTGCTCTGCTGTGCACTCGTCGCTACCCCACTCGCACAATGTCCAATCAAAGGCCAGGCTCTGTGATTGACACATAGGAGCAGCTGCTGTGATGTCACTTCCGGACCTTGAGTATTGTTGGACATCAGAGACAGTGCTGAGCCACGATAACCTGGTAAAAAGTACTACATTATCATGAAAGCCATGGCTTTGGGCCTGGACCAGCAGGGGGAGTGTGGAGATATGCACCAGAGACAGTGGCTGCTCTAAAGATCCAGGAGAGGGTGACTGCTGCATTTGCCACAGTGTGGTCTATTAGGAGCAGAACTTTAGGTGAACTTTAACTTTTATGTGACTCTTCACACTGTCACATCACACAAAGTAGTTAAAACAACCACCTTAAGTCACAATAAAACATTTACATTGAGTTTTGAACATATTTATTTTACTGCTGTTTGAAAAAATAAACGTCAACTTCTAATCATTCCTCTGATCTCTGTCCTAATGATTCTCAGCACAAGTGAAGACATGACGTTGTTGTCTCAGCAGATGAAACAGATGAAATCAGATTACAAACGTCTGACGTCAAAGTATCAAACTTTGAAAAGATAAAAATATACCTGATTTACAACTGACTTTATTTAACACAAATGAGTAAAGTCACAAATCTGTCATAGGTCAGATGATTCTCGGCTGTCTACAGTTTCAGTCTTTTAGCTAGTGGTCGTTGACCTTTTGACCCGGCCTCCTCGTCCTCTTCCTCATCTTCTTCATCTTCACCTGCACCTGGTAAACACCCATGATGTGATTGTAACAACAGGTCACTTACAGTTTAAGTAACAACAAAATAATTGATGATGCCACTGATGAGATTTTCCTCACACAAAATGACTTCATTGTTAAACTATTTTGTTTATCTCGAAAGGCTTGCTGATGCAACATGGCAGCGGAACAATCTAGTCTTTTATTTAACACATCACAGACGGTTACCTTTTTTTTTAATCTCAGATGTTTTTAAAAGATAAAACATTAGCTCTGAACGTGAAACCGTTCAAATCGTGTCTTGAAGAAGTTAGATGTGTGTTAGCACCTAGCTCATTCTGCAGCAGTGACGTCAATAGCTGTGACACCTTCACATTCAGCTCCTTGATTCCACAGCTCAGAGAAGACAGAGAACCGTTTAAGGGAACACACACTCTCTTTTCCTCGTCTCCCTTCAGCTTCAGCTTCGCCAACAAACACAAAGCCGCCATCTTCCTGTCGCCGCATGATGACGTCAACCTGCAACATTTTTTCATATTACTGTTAAAAAAATAAATGAAACGTCTTAATTAATTAATTAATTTAAAAAATCTACAAAAGACCTTAAGTCATAAGGGGTAACCATTTAATGTGTGATATCAATTTACCCACATCGCTTAAAAATCCCATAACGTGTCTCAATTACATGACGTCACAAAATTGTATTGTTGCGTTACTACATCGCTGGTGACTACAGTTTGGCACTGTTATTTGCGGATTTAGCGGACAGGCGATGCCTTTAATCATCAAAGAGACGTGGATTAAGTGTCATTAAAGGCACACGTGCTTCTGTAAATGTAACTCGGTGATTGGAGTAATATTTCTTTTTCTTTGGAGACGGTAAGTTCGGCTCCTCAGCGGCTGTGTTAGCATTAGCATTAGCACGAAGATGGTTTTCCCTGGGCTTCAGATGTTCAGTCGTAAAACTGATCAGGTGATGAGTAACGTCAACTGTTATGGCGGAGTAAACGTGTAAAGACAGACAGATACAGAGAGCGAATATTAGGTAACTGTCTCACAGAGACTGTTGTTGTTGTTAATTCATTGTTGCCTGCGTCACTAACTTCAAAGTAGTTGTTTTCTTACTTCACTGTTTGAAATCCTTTGTTCTGATTTTACCCTGCAGTTTCGAACCAGATAGAGATAAATGATATACTATATATACTATATATTTTCCAAAAATATTACTACAATTAATTGTTTACCATATTATTTTTAGTTTAGTTCTAAAAAATACCCGCCAACATTAGTCCATAACAATAGTGTTATGTTTTACTGTAGTATCGTCTGACTCTTTTCGTGTTTTCATCGCCACTGAAACGCATCTGCTATTGGCCAAACTGAATGTGGTGCTGCTCTGATCTGATGACTAGTTGTTCTACTGATTTATTAACTGAGATCTGTTCACCGTTATTGCAGGGAAAAAAAGAGAAGTCGAAGTAAAGTCAACGAGAATTAGAGTGAATTACTTGTCATTTTGACACAGCACTTAACGAAATCTGACCTCTGCATTTTACAAAGCAGCAGGGGACGTCTTATGGTTCTAACGTCTGTCTTATACCATAGTGGTCCAGCAGACTAGTGTTGACGTGTTTTTGAACAATATTAAACTTTGGCCCAAATATCAGTCGTAGTTTCCACAGCAGTTTTGTGCGATGTTACTGACACATCGTCACATTCATCAGGGAAATGATTAAAGACTGGATCCTTTCAGCAGGTGGACATTTATACACACAACCGCTAAGCTAACATTATCATTTCCTAGTCCATGAAACCTGATGGACTATGAAAGCTGCAAGTCTGTTTTATTGTGTCACAGTTAATTTTGTCTACAGTGTGGTTATTATGTGATGAAGCCAACATCCAACCACATCAGTGTATATAACAGGCTGCCTCATCAGCTCAGAGGTCTGGGGTTCGACTACATACACCTCTTCACTTAATGTGTGTTGACAGGAGGATGTGTGAGGAGCAGACGGTGTCTCTGTTAGATGTTCTGAAGGAGGATGAAGAGCTGGAGGAAGAGGCTTCAGCTGTTTTAGCAGGAAGTGACTCTGATCATTGTTCCTACCCCCAGGTCAGAACCAGAACCTGAAACTGAACCACAACTTTGTGTACAGCATGTGAAGGTGTGTGTGTGTGTTTTCAGGGTTATGTGCAGCGTCAGGCTCTGTACTCCTGTCACACCTGCATCTCAAACGGATCAGAAGCTGCAGGAGTGTGTTTGGCCTGTTCATATAAATGTCATGAAGGTCATGACCTATTTGAGCTATACACGAAAAGGTCAGAGGCACACACAATGCACACACACACACACACACACACAAAACCTGATGGTTGTGTTCTATCCTGCAGGAACTTTCGTTGTGACTGTGGAAACACGAAATTTAAGGACCTTCAGTGTAAACTTGTCCCTGTGAGTCCAAATCCAGATTCTGAACATCACCCACTACTTACTGGTACTCTAGCACCCATGGTAACGTAAGTGTAAGAGAAAAACCTTTTTGTGTTTCAGGACAAAGATGAAGTCAACACCTCCAACAAATACAGTCACAACTTCTCTGGACTGTACTGCACCTGCAGGAGACCCTACCCTGACCCCGAGGACCAGGTGAGCCGCACTCTGATACCCTGGTCTTTATATGTACACATTAAGGAGGTATATCCCCAGGGGACTTTCAGCATACTGTTTTTATTCACACTTACGTTAAACAAGACTCTAGTCACTAGATGACAGCATTGCAGCTCATTTTAATAATCAGGGGATTGTATGCAGAATGCTGGTGCAGCAACTCTTACAGTGGTTTGTACAGATAAATAATTAAATATTATCAGGAACTCAATAGTATTTTTAATTCTGTTCCCCAGGGGCAGAAAATGAGCAGGTGGCACTTAACTTCTAGGAAAAACTCCGAAAACTGAAACACAAAAAGAAATGATTCTGCCAATTATTAGCACCAGGTCATTGATGACTCTGACTGTGAACTAAACATCAATAAAATCAAGGATATTGAATAAATTAATATAAATGTTTCAAAGAATAAAACAATGAAAATATTCATTTATCACATTCAAACAATGAACAATATCAAATCAACTTCTAAATCCAATGTTAACCTTGACTCCACTTCTGTGTCCATTCAGTGATAATGTCCAGGTCTACTGGTCAGATTAAATCTGTTCTCTGATCAAACACAAAGGTCACTGAGGTCAATTGTGGACCAGTTCTCATCTGTGCTGTTTTATTCCCTCATCCCAGTTATGATGTTCCTAAGGTTGATCAAGTAGAGTGGTGATGTAGATCTGAATCAGAGTAGATCTGAGTCAGAATAGATCTGAGTCAAACAGAATAGATCTGAATCAAACAGAATAGATCATCAAACAGAATAGATCTGA